AGTTCCCTAGGCACGTGGTCCAAACTGACAACATCTATAAGAATAGTACCAGTCTATACCAGACTGCTAGGTAGCTGTGCCAGCTACATTTCTTTGTAGTAAATGCATATGTACTATGTTAAGATTCCCCCTCATCTATAAAGGGGACCCTTGTCATTTTGTAAAGGGACCGGGGGACACAATATTGAATATACAAGAACATTCTCTGTGCTCTTTAAACTTTACATACTCCCTATTTGGCTCTATTATTTACATTTATTGCTTTATTTACATTTATTATATCTCATTAACTGTTCTTCATTTATTGCTCGTTATTGATCATAAAGAGCCACAATCACAGCCCTAATAGCTGTTAATCCTTCATTGACTGATCCTTTACGAGCATCTGACACGATATCGAGAAAGGCAATTTGGGCAAAATCACTCGAACTACCGAGAGGTATAGAGTGAGTAGAATGGAGCAATGGTTATATCATACTCCCCAAATGTGTCAATCTAGCTTTAGATTCAAGAATCCGTCAATTGACCACCAAGGCGAAAGTCACTACCCTAGTGCCTTTTAATCATTTGAATAACTTGCAATAGTTTAATCATAGCTTATAGTAGTTAAATTGAGCATTGTAGTTTATAGAATTAGAATCATAAGTAAAACTCAAAAATGTGTAGAAGTGCAATTTGGAGCAAACACACAACTCCACTTTAGATAGACACCCAACTCCAATATCTAGCTCTCTGTGGAATTCGATCCCGACCATAAATCGGGTAAAAGCTGCTTCGACCTCTCTCGCTACTTAATAGTAGTGCGGGGTTGGCCGTGGTCAGCAACCTAGCTCAAGGATTAAAGCTATACATTTTATTGCTTTATTTACATTCATAGTTAATTGTCAATTTATGTTTTCTCTCAATTTGTTCTAAGTAAATCACGTGTCCTTAGGGTAAACTGGATTTCAATTATCTAACTTCATATGTGAGTCATGATTTTCTCAATTTTTCAAATTTACTCACTATCTAAATTACACTTGTGAAAATAGAATCTAAAGGTGCACAAGTAGACAAATTAATGAATCTCAAAAAAAGGGATCCATTTTGTCCCAAAAATTGTTGTTTCATGAGGAAATGGACCAATACATTGGGAGCAATAGAGAAAATGAAGTGCTTTAATGAATATCCTTTTTGTCTGGTTACGATATAATTTATATGTGTTTTTTCATGTCATTTTTTTATTGATAAATGTGTTTACCCTTAGAATCGGATAACAATTAAACTTATAGGTGGTTTTAAGGATATGTAATCTCACCTAGCACCAGATGATAAATATGATGATTAATAGTAGAAATGAATAACAAAGTAAAGCAAACCCATATTGAAATGCAATTTAGCCCTCGAGTTAGATCGCCCTCGAGCTGAGTGAGTGATAGTTGTATACGGCTAAAATCGGAGAGCCCGATTTCACTATCATTATGTCCTTCCGTAACTTCTCCTCGAAAGGCCTCGAAGGCCCGGGGGACAATTCGGGGTTTTAACCTCGAAGGTTCTTTATGTCCAACCTCAGGACAACACAAATCGATGGTTATCATGGATAAACGGGAAGTTCCCTAGGCACGTGGTCCAAACTGACAACATCTATAAGAATAGTACCAGTCTATACCAGACTGCTAGGTAGTTGTGCCAGCTACATTTCTTTGTAGTAAATGCATATGTACTATGTTAAGATTCCCCCTCATCTATAAAGGGGACCCTTGTCATTTTGTGAAGGGACCGGGGGACACAATATTGAATATACAAGAACATTCTCTGTGCTCTTTAAACTTTACATACTCCCTATTTGGCTCTATTATTTACATTTATTGCTTTATTTACATTTATTATATCTCATTAACTGTTCTTCATTTATTGCTCGTTATTGGTCATAAAGAGCCGCAATCACAGCCCTAATAGCTGTTAATCCTTCATTGACTGATCCTTTACGAGCATCTGACTCGATATCGAGGCCCCGCACGCGCTAGCTTGGGGCCCCGATTCTCAACCATTTGGTTTGGTTTCTAAAGCTATCTTTAAATTCTTCTCTAATTTTCTAACTTCGTCATTTAGCATCTACTGCTTAACAACTAGCATAAAAATAAATCACATATTATTAGAACCAAAAAATCAAATCTAATTGTTATTACCGTTTTCAAGGTAAACAACAGTAGAGTTATGAAATAAACTGATGAACAAGGAAGTATATGAGAAAAAAGTAATGTATTGCTTTGATATCTGTGAATGCAAGCTGGTTACAAAATGATTAGAACCCTCTTTATATAGTAGTGGAATCCTATTTATGGTACAATTCTAGTTACATAAGTAAATCCCATGATGGGCTAAATAATCGTTCTTGATTTGATCCGTTTTGAGAATTCCGTCGTGATCCTCGGCCAGTCACGGATATCTCGCCTTTCCATTATTATGCTATCTTAGGTCTTGCTCGATGTCTATCCTGTTTGGTCTCGATCATCACCGGTCTCGACCTCGACAGGTATTTCAAATCCCGAACTTGGTACCTTATCCTCAAGTCCGATATACTACAGGGTCGATTCTAGATCCATCCCCCTAGTCTCGATCAATTAGTGAAATCGGGTGGGCCCGATTTTAACCGTATATAGATAGTCCCCTCGTTTTTCGGAGTATGATGACAAGAAACGAATTGAGTCCTCAACCTTTACCCCGATTTATCATGACATCATCACCGTGACGTAAGCGATAGAGGTCACCGAAATGTCCCGTCGGTGCAGTTCCCAGTTATTAATATGTGTCAGTTGACGGTCGGCCACTAGTAATTTTGAATTGTCGCCGTAAAACCCATAAATAAGCTTTTTTTCCACTCTTTCAAACTTTACATTCAATCTCTCCTGCACTAATCTCCAAAACTCTTTGCATTCTTCAAGTTCTTCATCTGCAAATCTTCAAGTTTCATTGCTAACTTCTTTTTAAAACACCAAATATTGTCACCTTCATCCTTCTTTAATCCCACAACCAAATAGCAAAAATATCAAAAACAGTGCCACAAAAGGAAAAGGCTTCCTCGTCAAGGCCTGTTGGCAAGGAAACCGCGACGCGGCCATGCCCTGAAGAATTCATTCCTCCACCGTACGTCATTGATTCTGATTTCAAAGTTGAAAAGACTTCCTCGGTGCCTGGACGAGGTGAGCCGGTATCGAGATACATATGTTCGATCTCCGATAAACTCCTTTCCCAAGTGTTGGCCCAAGATCAGTTGAAGTTTTGAAGAATGACAAACGAACTCAGTGAAGGACTAGGTTCATCTAAGGAGACACAGTTGTTATGGCCCATACACATGAGATGCACGTGAAGAAGATAAGTCCTTGAGATCAAGCAGCAATATCTTGATGAATATCTTCTGAACTGATCGAAAAGATTGCATATAGGATAAGGAGTTGAAGTCTCCTTATGAAAAGAGAATTACATCCGGATCAAGAATATGGATTAGGAGTTAGAGTTGTTCTTGGACTCGAATTGTCAAAGGATCCACAATTCGAGTTCTTATCAAACTCTGATTACTAACTCTATAAATATAACGATTGTTCTCTTTTACAGGTGATTGCACATAAGCTGAAGTTAAACCAAATTGACAGCAAAAGAGCTAGGCGATTGTTGCAAGCAATTTGTGTGTGATACAAGTGTGCAAATCTGAAGCTACAAGAACTAAGTGTGAAAAACCAATTCAATTGTGTCTTTCTTTATTTCTAGTTCAATTGTAGTAGGTGTTTTAACATTGTACCTTTCCAGCTTTCTTGAAGCAATTGTATTAGGTGCATTGAGTATTCAAGTTAGAGTTAACTTGAAAGTGTCGCAACAGTTGAGGTTGTGTGCTACACTGGGATTAGAGTTAATCCTTAGGTTTACAAAGAGTTTTGTAAATGCTATTTTTGGCTCATTGAAGTTTAGTGGAAGTTTGGGAAAATCCTACTGAGTAGTAGGTCGTGGTTTTTTCACCTTTTGAGCCAGGTGTTTTCCACGTAAAAATCTCTATGTTCTTTATTTTTGTATTTTAATTTCGCAAACAGTAGAAGTTAGAACACCTAGAAGAACCAGGTTCTTCTAGTGCAAAAATTAGGTACCGCACAAATCACCTCCCCCCCCCTCTTGTGTGGTATTGACGTCTAAAACATCAATTGGTATCAGAGCGGGTTATCCTTGAAGAGGCTAACACCTTAGGAGAAGATCAAAAATGAGTGCACCACCTGGGAACTGGGAAGGGAAATCCACTGCCAGACCTCCACATTTCAATGGTTTGTAATACTCTTGGTGGAAGAACATAATGAGAGATCATATCATAGGGGAAGACTATGAACTTTGGGATATAATTACTGATGGTCCCCTAGCTACCACTAAGAAGAATGCAGAAGGAATTGATGTGCCAAAAACAAGGGCTGATTGTACTGCTGAGGATCTGAAGAAATGGGAGAAAAATGCTAAAGCCAAGAAGTGGCTAGTGTGTGGTCTAGGACCAGATGAGTACAGCAGGATTCAAACCTGTACAACTGCTAAGGAAATATGGGACACTGTACAAGTGGCTCATGAAGGAACACCTCAAGTGAAAAGGTCAAGAGGAACTCTTCTGTATTCTCAATATGAGAATTTCACTATGAAGGAAGGGAGAAAGTATCCAGGAGATGTATACTAGATTCACTACTCTGACTAATGAGCTTAAATCTCTTGGAAGGACCATCCTTGAAGAAGACAAGGTTGAAAAGATTCTGACAAGAGTTCTGCCAGTCACTTGGGAAAGCAAGATCACTGCCATTCAGGAATCCAAGAATATTGCTACACTTAAGCTGGATGAACTAATTGGGAACTTAACTGCCTATGAAATGAGGAGACAAACAATGAAGATGGATACCCCCAAAAAGGAGAGAAGTTTAGCTCTCAGAATCACTGAAGGTGCAGATTTGGAAGATGATGAAGTAGCCATGATCACTAGGGATTTCAAGAAGTATCAAATGAGAGGAAAGGATGCTTCAAGAAGTACAAACTTCAACAAAACAAGAGCTCCGGAGAAAGAGATCAATGAAGGCTGCTACAAGTGTGGTAAGACTGATCACATGATCAAAAACCGTCCTCAATGGGAGATTGAGTGGAAGAAAGAAAGAGCTGAAAGAAGAAATAGGAAGAAGGAACAGGTTCAACCAAAAAGAAACAAAGGTTCAACTAAGGCTATGGTTGCTGCTTGGGGAGAAACATCAGATGAGGACTCTGAAGATGAAGCTGAGGAGGATCAAGCTCTAATGGCCATTGGAGAATCAGAGGATGAACAAGAGGTAAGTATTCTTCATCTCAAACACAAGATCAAATTCTTGTCTAAAGAAAGGCTAGTTGAACTCTTAACAGACTTCATTGATGAGTTTGAGATAATTAATAATGAAAAGGATGTTCTGTCTAGGGAATATGTGGTTTTAAAAGCTAAATGTAGAAGTCTAGAGTCTAGGGCAAATGAGAGTGATAACAAAAATGCTGAGTTGAAGAATCAGGTTCTTGAACTTGACAACAGTGTCCTAGAACTTAGATCTGAAAATCTGAAACTGAAATTAGGAACAAGAAAGAAGACAGGTGATCACACATATCTTACGCTAGAAGAAAATTTAGGAAAAATGAAGGATGAATTATATAAGAAAGATGAATTCATCAAAATCTTAAAAGAAGATCTAGGAAAGGTAAAACATGAACTAGACAGAACTTGCAAGTGGAACAAAGCATCTGATGCTCTCTCTTGGTTGCAAGAGCATCATAGCAGTAACAAAAGAGGACTTGGCTATGGAACTCAAGCTCTTAAATGGGATCAAAAAAGAAAGTACCTCACTCTTCCTGAAAATAAAATCTGCACACTGTGGCAAGACTGGCCATTACAAATATGAATGCAATGAAAAAGAGAAGGCCAGTCAAAGGAACAAGTTTTTTGTTAAAGAAAAGAATAAATTGTCTGAATGGGCAAGAAGGAATTTAATCCATCCTTTTGCCTATAGAAAGGGACCCAAACTGGTTTGGGTTCCTAAGACTAACCCCTGATTTCATATTGTAGGTTCAAGTGAAAGGGAGGAGCCAAATATGGTATATGGATAGTGGCTGCCCAAAACACATGACTGGGGACAAGGACCAGTTCCTTTCACTTGAGGACTTAAAAGGAGGTAATGTCTCCTTTGGTAATGGAAAGAAAGGTGAGATCATTGGGGTTGGTAAGGTAGGCAAGACTAATTCTCATTCCATAGAGAATGTCTACCTGATAGATGGTTTGTATACTAGCCTAATAAGTGTGTCACAACTGTGTGACAGAGGTAACCTTCTAGCTTTTACCTCCACCAAGTGCTTTGTGATTAATCTCATCACTGACAAAATTGTTTTGCAGGGAAAAAGAGTTAACAATATTTACATTGTAGATTTGTCAACTCTTTCAGAAAATGAACTCACATGCTTAAGCCTGTTGGTTAATGATCCCCTCCTATGGCACAAAAGACTTGGTCATGCTAGTCTGAATCAGCTAAACAAATTAGTCTCCAAGGACATGGTTGTAGGTTTACCTAATATCAAGTTCAAGGAAGACAAAGTCTGTGAGGCATGTGCAAGGGGGAAGCAGGTAAGGACATCCTCTAAAACCAAGAAAATGCTGAGTACGTCTAAGACGTTGGAACTGGTTCATATGGATCTATGTGGTCCAATGAGAACCATGAGCAGAGGTGGAAAGAAATATGTAATGGTGCTAGTTGATGATTATTCCAGATTCACCTGGGTTTTATTTCTAACCTCTAAAGATGAAGCATTTGACATGTTCTCTGCATTTGTTAGGAAAACTCAGAAACAATTAGGAAATCAACTTGCATCCATTAGGTCTGATCATGGAACTGAGTTTGAAAACTCTAAGTTTTCTGAATTTTGTGATGAAAATGGCATAGATCATAATTTCTCTGCCCCTAGGACTCCACAACAAAATGGTGTAGTTGAAAGGAAAAATATAACTCTTGAGGATATGGCCAGAACAATGTTATTATCTAGCAAATTACCTCACAGTTTCTGGGCAGATGCTGTAAACACTGCATGCTACATCATAAATAGATGCATGACCAGACCACTAGTAGACAAGACTCCCTATGAGTTACTTAAAGGGAGAAAACCAAACATATCCCATCTTAGGGCTTTTGATTGCAAGTGCTATGTGCACAATAATGGAAAAGACTCTCTAGGAAAGTTTGATCCCAGAAGTGATGAGGGAGTATTCTTGGGATATTCCTCACATAGTAAAGCTTATAAAGTTTTTAATTAAAGAACACTGTGTGTAGAAGAGAGTGTGCATGTAGTATTTGATGAAACTAACATTCTTTCTGAGAGACAGGAACAAGAAGATGAAGCCATTGGACTAGTAAAAGATCTGGCTGAATCATCAGCTCAGGTTAAAGTGGTACCTGCAGAAGGAACAGGTGATGAAACAGGTTCATCCTTACAGGGCAACCTGACAGGGGGAAGAAATCAAAAGGGAACTGAAATAAACCCCTTAAAAGAACTTGCTCATGAACCTGTTCCTCATCAAATTGATGAAACATCTAGCAGAAGCCAGTTGGTTGTAAAGCGTCACAAGTATCAAAGTTCTCATCCCATTGAGAACATTCTCACTGATCCAACTTCTGGAGTAAAAACCAGATTACAATTAAAGAATCTGTGTGCTTTTGATGCCTTCTTATCTATTATTGAACCTAAAATATTTCTGAGGCTTTGCAGGATGCAGATTGGGTAAATGCAATGCAGGATGAGCTAAACCAGTTTGAATGAAGTCAAGTTTGGCACCTAGTTCCTAGACCCAAGGACAGATCAGTCATTGGTACCAAATGGGTCTTTAGGAACAAACTTGATGAAGATGGAACTGTCACAAGGAACAAGGCAAGATTGGTAGTCCAAGGCTATAGCCAAGAGGAAGGGATAGACTATAATGAGACCTTTGCCCCAGTTGCAAGACTAGAGGCAATCAGACTCCTCATCGCTTTTGCAGCACATATGGAATTCACTCTCCATCAGATGGATGTCAAAAGTGCTTTCTTAAATGGCTACCTCAAGGAGGAAGTGTTTGTGAAACAACCTCCAGGATTTGAAAGCAAGGAATGTCCTGAGCATGTGTATAAGCTGGACAAAGCTCTATATGGGCTCAAACATGCCCCAAGAGCTTGGTATGGACGACTATCAAAATTCCTACTGGAGCATAGGTACAAATGAGGTAAAATTGACAGCACTTTGTTCCTAAGGGAAAAAGGTAAAGACCTCCTTGTTGTACAAATATATGTTGATGACATAATATATGGGGCCACTTCTGATAGGTTGAGTAAGGACTTTGCAAAATTAATGGGAAGTGAGTTTGAAATGAGTATGATGGGTGAACTAAATTTCTTCCTAGGCTTGCAGATCAAACAAAGTCCAAATGGAACCATGATTCAACAGTAGAAGTATACGAAAGAACTAATCAAGAAGTTTAAAATGGAAGACTCTAAAGAAATAGATACACCTATTGCAACTGCCACTAAATTAGATGTTGATGAACCTTGTTCATCAGTTGATCAAAAGTTGTATAGGGGTATGATTGGTTCACTCTTCTGTCTCACTGCCAGCAGAGCTGACATTATTTTTAGTGTAGGGCTGTGTGCTCATTTTTAGGCAAATCCAAAAGAGTCTCACTTGACTGCTGTTAAGAGGATACTGAGATATCTAAAAGGCACCACTGATCTGTGCCTTTGGTATCCTAAAGGTAGTAATTTTGATCTAGTAGGATATGCTGATGCCGTCGCCGTGATTGATCACTTCCTGGTGATTCCATTCGAATTTTACTGCCTGATGCAACATTGATGCTATGTCCCCAGCGGTATGAATCCATGGTCGTCCCAGCAGCAAGTTGTAAGACGCTGGCACATCTATCACTTGGAAATCGACCTCGAACTAGGTTGGTCACATCTGCAGGCATAGACTAATCTCACCAATGGTTGATCTATGAGAACCATCGAAGGCTTTCACATTGATTGCTCCATCCTTTATCTCATGCAGCCCTTTGCCCAACTTCTTGAGTGTTACCAGCGGACAAATGTTAAGACTAGAACCTCCATCGATCAGGATCCTGGTGATGAAATAATCTTCGCATTGCACGGTGATGTGCAGTGCTTTGTTGTGACCCAGCCCTTCAGGTGGCAGCTCGTCCTCATAAAAGGTGATCTTATGGCTTTCCAACACTTGTCCTACTATATTAGCTATTTTCCCGCCAGTGATGTTACTTGGTACGTATGCTTCACTCAGCGCCTTTAACAGAGCATTCTTGTGCGTCTTGAAATTTTGCAGCAAAGAGAGGATGGATATTTGTGATGGCGTCTTTTTTAACTGGTCGAAGACCGAATATTCCTTGGCCTGTATTTTCCTCCAAAGGTCGTCCGGACCTGTCTCGATGAGGGGTCGCCGATTGGAGGCCTGCTTGCTTGATTCAGCCAGACGTTCAGGGGTATAGACTCTACCCGTTCTTGTCATACCCTGTGCTGCGACAGTTTCTTCAATCCTGACCTTGCCTTTCCTCCTTGCCTCGGCTGTATAGTTCCAGGGTACAGCATTTGTATAGAATGATGGCGTGTTAGACATCGCCACTGGGATCGGCGCGGCTATTCTCACTTCGAATGGAACATGTGCCTTGGGTGGCAAGACTGCAACCTCAAATGGTGCGGG